CCTTGTGGGATCCTGCGTAGTTCTGGAGCTCCCTCAGGCAAACTTTGCAAGAGGATTGCGTGACATCCTCGATCCAGATACTAGCTGCGTCACGCTTCAGTCCAGAATGATGGTGCTTTGCAGTTACAAATACCGAGGGTGCACTAGGAAATTTCTTCTTCCAATAAGAGAAAAATTTGTAGGGGTTAGGAATATCCAGGTCCAACCCTGTCCTAGTTACCGCGTAATGTTCTTTTTCAAAGAAAGTTTATTCTTACAGTACCTCTAACCCATTTAATACCGTGCACACTAACAGCAGTGGCATCTTAGAAATTGAGGAATGTGCGTGAAATGTAAGGCAGTGTCTGTTTTGGACAAAGAGGAATAACTTTTTAGGCGGTAGAAACCGCAAAACGCTCCGTCATTAATGGCTAATGAAGCTTTTGGGAGTCGATCTTATCCTGGTACTTGAGCATCCTACACAGAAAGAAATTTCAGTCTTGTTTGGGGTTTACCACTCTGACAATTATTTCCCACCAATTATATAATTAATAATTAAAGATGCTCAGTTGCTTATTCCTTAAGACATACGTACGTGTATGCAATAAGCTTAAACAGAAAAGCAACGAACGAATAAATAAATGTGTTAAAAGATGTGAGATGAAGGAGAAAAAAGAAAAAAGCCTACTTACTGAAGGAAAGTTCACCGTTACACAAGTCGTTCCAGTCCACCATTGTGATACCCGTTCTTCGCCTGCCAGTCCACCCACTGGAGCTCCCTGATACGCCACCCAATCAATTGTGACGTTTGCGTTCGATTTTCGCTCATTGAAACCTGCTGCCATGGCACAAACGGTGAATCTATCGTAATTGGTGTTCTCAACCCATGACACTGCCGCATCGTGTACATACGACTTGTCACTGGTGTCGATGTGATTGACAGTGATCTGAACTTCAATGGGTTTGTCAGGATAGAATACGAAAGGTTGCAGATGGATCACTACACAATGAGAATATCCCAGTGTTGGAATGTGAGGCATGTGTTGGCGACCATGCTGGAATGGAAAAACTGAAAAAAAAATAAATAAAGAGGGAGCACCGTACTGTTTTCTTAAATCTTTGTTTTACTGCGATGTCACTGAATAAGCACGCTGATAAGTTAACCTTAATCGCCATAAAGCACGAAAATTTGACGATTCTAAAAAAATTTTCAAGAAATATATGGTGTTAGACTCTGAGAATGCAATCGTGCAGTAGTGACGGTTTCGTACAAGTTGTCACATGTCGTTGGGCAAAGCGTCAAATGAACCATGCTTTTTGTTCCGTTAGACTTAAAAGTATCCCTAAATTCTGCCGATATTTGAGGGTCGGTAGCAACTTTATGGCAATTTTTTTAGCAACTTTTTAGCAGTCAGGTGAGAAATTCTTCCAGTATTTTACGAGTATTCCGTCAGTCCGTCAGTTAGTTATTCTGTCAAGCCATCAGTCCGTCAGTCAGTTAGTTCGTCAGCCAGTAAGTCCACCAGTAAGTTAGTCCGCCAGTCCGTCAGTCAATCGGTCAGTCGATCAGCAGTTAGTCAGTTGGCCATACTAAACTGGGTCAAGCAAATCGAAGTCAAAACAGTCAAAACGTCTGTGTCTTAGTCAGTAGTGCATTTTTATATACCCGACCATCAAAACATACACTTAACAGATATAGTTCAAACCTTTTCAGCCCAATAAAGAGCTAAACCGTTGGAAACCTTACCTTCACAACGACCTGGATGTTGCACTGAAAAATTACGCCTCAAAAGACACGTCTCTCGTTTGAACAAGCACTCGTTGCCGTACGTTGTACCATTAGAAGAACACACAGGCTCGTGGAACGACGGACAGCGGTCTAAGCACACGCAGCGGGCGTCATGCGGTCCAAAGGCCTTACATAGGCCATAGAAATAGCAGGTAACGTGCAGGCACGGATCCAAGTCTTGCAAAGCAAAAAAGAATACAATTCTTTCTAGGTACATTTGTTTAGTACTGTATTGTATTTGACATGATTTAGACGTCGTCGAAAAAAGAGTTTACGAACAGGACACAAGTAATACATGCGAGTGGCTTACTAAAAGCGATCTTCAAATGATTTAAGACTGCTCTAAAAAATTCTTCAAATATACAAAAAATGAAACTTTTAAAAAAATTTAGCAACGCCTTTCCGCAAAAATAAAACAACGACGACAAAAAATACAATTAAACAACAAATAGCTACCAACGCTAAATAGAGAAGGGTAAAGCATTTATTTCTAATAACAAGAAAGGTCCAGAGGGGAGAAAAATGGACAAATTCTGACTATGTTTAAGATGACAAATAAATTATTTGTTGTTAGTTTCCACTCGAGTCCTGCTTATATCGAAACTCTTGTTACTTCTCATGGAATCCTTTTACGATACCAATGCAGGACACGCCATTTTTCTAGGAAAAAATAACTTGTCCCACTCAAAATCCAACACTTTCGAGATTCAGTTCGCAAAACTGGCCAAATATTTAGGCAATTCCAGATTTATGTTTACTTCAAAATCGCAAACAAGTCGCCCAAAATATCATGTATGATGGCACTCACCTCCTACGACAACATAATCAATTGAAATGGCACTGTTACTTTCCTCTTTGCTCTGGTATTTTCTTAAACACACCTTCGTATCTTTCCTTGAGGTGAACTGTAGTCCAGAGGAAAATATAATTTGCTATCAAGTTAGTTATTGAACCGCCAAAAATAAACAAAAATAACAATAACGGAAACAACAAGGAGCCGCAAGAAGTCAAGAGCAAAAGTTTGATCCTCATCGATCCAACAAAATTAAAAACACAGCATTCCCATATTAAATTTTTCACATTCGACCAACCTCTGAAATTAAAAAGACAAAATACCCTCAAGTGAAAAGAGATCAATTGCAATGTCACGGTGCATATTGATTGCATTCAAGAATTGTTAATTGATATATAAATTGAACGATATTAACTAACACTTAACTATCTCTGCCAAAGAGCCAAAAGAAATATTTCGTTTTTTCCCATTTGTTAAATCAATTTTGTTTTCAAGGCCAGCGAAGTCACACTCATATACATAATGTCTACCGCGGACAACCTTTTAACATGTTCTAGAACAGGTATAACACTGACATCTTACCTCTACCCAAGCTGTAATGGCACTGCACTGAGAGAAAGGAGGGTCCGAGTGGTTATTGATATAACCCTGCTTTGGTGTCACTACTACAACAGGGGGAGCATAAAACGGATCGGTGAAGTTTATACTCTGAAATATGAAGAACAATGGATGACACAAGTTGCTGAACAATGCTATTTGAATTCGAACGAATAATGTTACGTTACCATCACTGCCACCCCCTCCACAACAACCGTGGGAACCACATTGCTTTAGCCCATTTAATATTGTTTTATTTCATTTAAACTTCGTCAAAGAACTACTTTCTTTGATAAAGGCCCTTTTACACTTACTAATCTATTCACTTTTAATATGGAGTGATTATCGACTTCAGGAAAAAAAAAACGATTGGTACCAAAAAAAAACGATTAAGTTACCCATGTCATAAAACTAACTTTAAAACTGACCTGACAGTACGCATGGTTACTGTAATGGAATTTTGAGCTTGGATTGTTCAGCATTACAGTTTTGGTTAAAGTGAAGTTTCCAACCTTAAGAGCTATAAACGCCATCCAGTTCTGTAAAATGAGATGGCTAATAATTGATAAGTAGGTTGACAACATTTAAAAGAATCCATTCATTTAACACTGATTTATTCCGCATTGGTTAGTTATACATTAACTCCGTTAGTCTGTTGGCAGTCAGTTGGTAATACGAATTGCCTGTTACTCATTCAGGGGCCAGCAAGTAAGTCAGTCAGTTAGTGAGTTATGTTATTCAATCACTCAATTCAATTGATCAGCGAGTTAGTGGGTCAGTGAGTCAATCTATCAGTCATTAAGTCAGTGAGTTGGACAAACAGTCGGCCAGTCTCTCAGTCAGCTTATCTATCAATCAGAAGTTTGTCAATCATTTAATTAGTCAGTTGATCAGTCATTCAATAAGTCAATCTGATAGTCGGTCTGTTAATTAGACGGCTATAAAGCTATCTTGATCAGACATGAATGTTACAGCCAATCACTTATTCAGAGAATAAAGTGGTATTGATGACTGGATGATGAAGAAAGGTAGCTAATTAGAATGGTGAGAGCACATAAATCAATTATCGAGTACTGGGGTTGAAATGATTCCCTTACCATTCGGATATCTTTGTGTAATCCATCAAGAATCTTTGTCTCTCTGAAACAAATTTTAAAATTGTCCTTATTCAAGTCTTTTACCCAAATAGCCATAGCATCTTGTGGTCTCTTCAGAATTTCATGGCTGGCGGAAACTAAAACATTTGGTGTAGTCTTAAAGCGCTAAAAGAAAAAAAAAAACAAAAGAGGAAAAAAATTGAATATTTTTACGAAGTAAGTTTGAAGCAAAAATTGATGGATAAAAACCCTCTCAAGGACAGGTAATACTAATAATGCCGCCATGTCAGTCTTAGCGTCGGAACCAAGAGCAATAACTCTTCACGTTTTTTGGCTTAATTTCTATCGGAAATTATGTTTTTCCCTTTGTCAGACGTTTGTATCAAAAGGAAATAAGAACCTGCTTGAATCGAACCTTTTCAAAGTTGATAGTAATACACTCGGTTCCGGTAGTCCATGGATCCAACGCCACAGTTCCTAGCTGAGATCCAAGAGGTGTAGATTGCAAAGCAATCCAGTTCACTTCAGCAAAACCTTTTGAACCTTCTCCATACTCCAAAACGCAGACTGTGAACCCACCAGTAGAAACAGACTCCACCCAGACTGCTGCACCAAACCGATGTTTTGGACTTTTTACAGTATGTCCAAATGAAGCGAATACCTTAACTTGCTGTCCATCAGAGAAAGGACTTTGGAAGGAAATTTTCTCACAGCCAAACAGGCCTGGCGTCGATATCGTTACATTGTCTTTCCCCACCTTTATTATCGGTGCTGTCGAAAGAAACAAAGAAGGCATAACTTGTTTTTGCTATTTGCTTCATCCAAATTTCGTTACAGCTAAGATGCACAAATTATTGATACAACATCCCTATCATAAACTTCGAACGGTGAATGTTCACGCGTCACCCCAAGAGAAAAAATTCAGGCCAGCTTGTGATTAGCCAGCTTTCACCAACTGTCATTAGCGCATTTCGATAAAGTGTTTTTCCAACAGTCTGCTATGGTAAGGCGTTTTTGCTGCTGTGTTTCTTAGTCTTAACATCCATGGTCTAGAATCTCCCTTTATCATCCCTTGTTGATGTCTTTCGAGAATGTAGTCTTCTAACTAACAAACTTATAACAAAAATTAAAGAGGTCACGGATTCTGACACTTGGCTTCATTTCAAAGTGGGATTTGTCTGGTGAACTGGACATGCTCTGAGGTGATGTTTTGATGATGATGATGAATTTGCTGATGAAAACCCGTCAGTCCCAGCGGAGCATAACGCTTTATAAGGTGATGCACAACTAGTTGAACCCATTGCTTGTGTAACGATAACAGTATGAATAATTAAGATCCTTATCGCAAATCGTTCTCAAATCTGCATCAATGAACCTTAAAAATTGCTGTAACATTAACCATAATTTTTCGGCTTATAAAAAAATAATTTTTAAACATTATTGGAGACAGCGGGAAATCGAGGTGGGCACAGTTCAGACTCAGCGAGAGTTTTCTGAAATTCTGTACTCGAAAGTCCTTTAGATAACATCGTCAATTTCTGTCCACTGTGTATTTTATTTGAAAAATCCTCCTCTCGTCAAACCAATCAAATGGTAAATTTCAAGACCAAAAGACCGCACTCCTATTCATGCGAACTTATGGTGGTTGCAATTAAACCAAGGACAAAACAAATAAACGAAAGGACAAAATTCTAAACGCAGCCTCAGCCGGCAAATTATTGAAGAAAAGAGAAGGAAAAAACACGCTGTAGATTCTGATTTAAGAAAATAACGTGTTTTAAAAAGAATCATCGCTTATGGCAAAGATAGAGAACAATAAAAATTCACAACCAGGTCCGACGACGCTACCAGCTGTTTTAAACTTTCAGACGCGTCACAGCGCACTGTGACGCTGTTCCTTTAAGACCAATTTTTTACTTTGGTTGACTAAAATGGGACTCTTAAAAATTATATCTTTTCTTAACACCGATTAAGAAAGCTTTCTGTATGTAACAAAAAATCAGGGTCAACTTAATTGCCATAGCAAGAATAGTGGCATCATTCTCGAAAGTATTCAAGGAACCAAGAAAGTTGTACACGGCTTATAATTTCTCTTTCCACATATGCATGCATGAAGACAATGTTATCGTAACTCTAAAAGAATTAGATTTCCGATCCGAAAGTTTTTCTCCTGATCAAATATGCGGTTCATTCAGCAATTGACAGAGTCCAAGAGATTTTTGAAGATTGAAAAATTGTCGAGAAAAGCAACAAATGAATCCAGTTGAAGCTTTTCAGCTTCAACAATTATCGTTTTAAAATAAAGGATTTGATTGATTGATTGATTGAGTTAGAAAACTGAACTCCAATGGTTTGATCGACGGACTTGTGGTCGAAGGTCAGTGTTCCCGATGGGATTTAATGAGCACGTGCTCTGCTAATACTGAAGCACTTTTTCGTTTTCAAATTTTAATCCAGACTATTTTGGAGGGCGTTTGATTCTCCACACATGCAAGTTAACAGAAAGCTAGAGCTAAAAGCTGAATGAAAAGCTTATGCACGCAGATCTAAGGGAAAGAGTTTCTTGACAAGAATTAGAACCAGCCTATGATATTATATCTTATTTTAAAACTCAGTAATTCTTGCGAATACCGTTGTTAGACGATAATCTACATCAAAAACGCCGACAGGGTTTACCCCAATTTGTTGGCTGATGATAATTGGCGAAAGGTAACAGAACATTATTGGGTACGGTTGAATATTCAGAGTGAATATGGTTATCTCAGCGATAGTTTTCCGGTTCTCTGTCGACTAATTTTTTTCATGGTCCACAATACTGCCAGATTGCGTTCATTATAAATTTTCCTTTAACTTGCATTTTATCCAAAGAGTCTGCTATTTGAAAAAGGATCAGACGCACCCTATGACAATTAAATGAACAAAATTAAGTTGAAAATCCCAAAAGGAAGCGAAGGGATTGCCTGAAATTCCAATCCTACACGCATACTGAAAGTTCTGGATATACAAGTAAACAAAAATCAGGGTAAGCATTTTTTTATCGCAGCGAGAGTTTTCGGCATCCTTTACAATGCAAGCTCGGCTCGACGGTTAATGAAGACGCAATGAACAGTCGACCTAATCGAGACACGACCGATAAACAACTATTGCTTTCGCACTTACCACAAAGTATGTACGTGCTCCTCAAGCAAAACAGTACAACTGCAAGGCGTTGAACCAACTCAGTTCTTATCATATCTTCTTGGCTGTGGAATGAGCTAAAGGCCCAGTAAAGTTTGTAATATCTTTAGATCCTATAGCTCCAGCTAATCAGCTGAAGGTGTAAACCGTATTGCGTGTAGATACGTCCCTTTATGTGAAAGAAATAAGCATTTTTGCCCAGCCAAACTGCTAAAACGTGTCTGCTTGAGCAAAATTTCCTTATGTGGCTGCGTTGAAGCTCATCATGGAAAGTGGCTGAATGAACATAATATCATGTTTTCTTTGAAAATCTAATCCGTTTCATTCTTTATTCACCCTCTTTTTCAATGACAATTTTACCAAATTTTCCTCTGAGCTACATATTGCGTGCACGCAATATGTTATTTTTCCAATTCGTTCTATGCATTAACTTCCCGTTGCAGTGTATGACCATATAGTATACAGAGGGCCAACAGAAACGAAAATTAGACCCTAAAATCTGCTAATTAAAGCGTCTACAAGACGAAAAATGCGTTATTTACTAACCAACTCTTAGGTTAGCCGGCTAAGAATCAATGGTGATTTAACAATTTTCGCTCAGTCTTCGCTCTCAGGCTCTAACAAGAATATTTGGAAGTTGGTTATGACGTGGAAAGGTTTTTGTGAAATTCCCTATTCCTTCGTTAAACCAGTATGAGCGCAGGTTCTTCGCAAATGCTAACCGGGCAACATTTCGTTTACAAATCTCTTTGCAAATGTTTTTGTGGCGTATGCATTCAAACTTATACGTTATGCCAGATATTAAAATGTAAGCTTAGAGCAAGCGATATTAGATAATTTAGCATAAAAAGGAAACACGTTATGAAACAGGCATCATTCAGTGGCAAAAAAAATTTAAAGGGGGGGGGGTGGTAGTAAGTGAAATGTTGTGATACGCGCCATCTTGCATTGTTGTATTTCATCTCTTGAAAAACCAAAAGGCTTATTTTTTTAAACTAAAAAAAAAAAAGGCCAGGCTAACATCGTTGCTCGAATGTCGAACACTGCCAGAAAACAAAAATATTAGTTTTTGCGCTCTCCTTGTTCCAGTAGCTCAAAATTATGCGATGCGAATTAATAAACCAGATCCGCGCTTTCCATCAAATGCAAAAGTTCTCGTACAGGAAGAACACAACGCAACCACGAAGGGTAGAATCAGATCATAAGTTGTTATGTCTTTTCGACTGCAATTGAGCCGAATATGCCGAAGTCAGGTAATTTCTTTCTTCAAAGCCAATACCTGTTGCTAATCATCTTGAGCTGGTCGTCTGGTAAGGTAGGCTCCTGAGATCAGGAATAAGTTTCTGGAACACAACTGATGTAGCGTGTGGTAATGTTCTTTAGACAAGCTGATTGCTGATCTGTCTAAAATTGAACACACTGGCTTTCTTTCAATAGTCTGTTTATCAACGTAACAAAAACTGAAGCTATGCTTTTCGGAACTTTCCCTAGATTATCTGCCGTAAACTCTTTTTCTATTACCTTAAATAACAATGTTATTAAGCGGGTTTTTCACTTCACTTATCTCGGTATAGTTTTTGATGACCGCCTTGGCTGGAACGAGCAAATAAAGCAGCTTATTTTGAAGGCTTATTTCATTGTAGTCTAACTAGGCCAATTTTAGAATACTGTGTAAGTGTGTGGGGCTGCTGCGGGGAAGGTCACAAACATAGCCCTGAAGCCCTCCAAAACCGGCTTGCTAGAATAGTTACAAGAACTGTGCGCAGCAACCAGCAGTGGACGTTCTGAAATGGCTCACGCTGGAGAAGCGCCGTCGTAAAACTGTTTTTAAACTCGTTAAGAAATGCCTGCAAGGTCAATATCCCCAATATTCAGGGACCGCGCAGAGGGAGGGGCTGGGGGGGCTTTAGAAAAAAAATTTTCCTTCATGCATTCTTCTTTAGTCCCCCCTCTCGAAAACTTGCTGCGCGGTCCCTGATATTTCAAATAATTTTTTAAACGTAATAATACAATTTACGCCCGTGCCACTAGACAAAGCAACCTTTTACATCCGCCTGCTGTGAGGACTGAGATCGCAAAACGATCTTTCTATTACCATGGGTGCACTCTTTTTAAAGAACTATCTTGATGGTATTTCGTATTTATTTCCTTCTAAATTTTTTATTTGTACATAGGTTTCTATCTATAATGCTATCAGTATCAGTGTAATACATATGTATACCATAGTTTTAGTACATTGTTGTGCTCAGGGCTCCCATTGATAACAGACAGGTTTTAGCATCTGAAGGGGCTACCCTTAGCGGTATAGAGCGAGGATAGGTTACTGACGACAACGCTAGAGACCAGAAGCCAACCTCCTGGAAAAAAGAAATGAAATGAAATGAAATTCTTGATTAAGCAAAATAATATTGCATTGCATTTATTATAGAAGGACAGTTTGTACAGAAGTAAAACAAAACCACCGTTCTCGTTACTAGTTTTTCTTAAACATCCATTCGTTACCTCCTTTGGTTGTCATATCACAGTAGACCTTTTAAAGGTTTCCGTTCTTCTTAAGACCGATCCAGACTCCCCGTATTTAAGGTGGGAACTTGCGTTCCGAATTTCCTCACAAGAATGACCTAAAGAAGGAAATGCGGCTTTTTTCTAAATGAAAGGCAAAATCTTCCCACGAATATGAGTTAAGTGATTGAACACAGCCAGTCAAAGAATATTTGGTAATAATTGTTAAGATGCTGCTCTTCGTTCGTAGAGAAATGTTCTTTCGGACTAGACATGCACATGATAAGGGAAGGCAGTCGCCATTTCCCACTTGTTGTTTTTCCTTGAGTTTCTTTTAATTCTAGAATTCCTTGACCAAAAACGAGACGCATCCTAATTGGTTTTAGGTAAGTACGTGTGACAATATCAGTAATAAGCGATAAAATGATGATTGTTGTTCAAAAGTGCATAATTCTTGCGCCATTTGTGGAATAGCGAGTTAAAATAGAGTTACCAGATCTGGTTGAATCCATCCAATAATTATAACCGCTGACCGCCTTTCCTCCTTCACTCGCCTTGATCTCCTTGCACGATTCCACGGGCAACTCACGAATTGATCCAAGGGGAACTGCAATTGAAGCGATCAATTTTAGCAGAATAGGAGTAAGAAAGATTCATTGCTGACAATGTAAAATCCACGAAAGTCAGATTACCCATATTGTTTGTTTTCAACACCTTTAAGATATACTTTGTGTGGAATGTTTATATGACTTACTTTATAATTGGTAGTCTATTAACACTTCTGTAAAACTATTTGTCAGACAACATTGGGTACATTTCAACTTGCGCTCGCATATCGAGCTATCAGTTGAATGTCGCCCCCATCCCCCTTACCTCCCTTCACCCCTCCCCCCCTTTCCCCTTAACTGTAATTTTGCTTTTTAATCTCTGCATTTTCTATCACCTCGTTTTGGACCTTTCGCTATGTAGTATCTGTCCCTGTTCCTGACAAAGTCCTCTGGTCTGGCCTATTTAGTTCGGTTGTTTAACTCGCATATTGCAATACACATAACGACGTTGTAGCTTTGACATTATAAAATCAGCAAGACAAGCCTCTCTGCATTCCGGGGTACTCGGTGCAGTCTTGAACGACTTGTAAGTGTGGCCCTTGAGCATCATTTGGTAAATGAGTATAGGTCACCGCTGGCTCCACATTGCTGACTGGCATTGTCACGGAACAGTTGAGAAATGAGAACTAGCACGATAAAAAATGAAGCCTGTCGACGAGCCATGAGAAGTATATCAGATTTATAACACTTGCGAAAACAAAATGAATATTGTTTATTGGTAATGTTTGGGTTCAAGACAATTTTGGGAAAAACCTCCTGAATAGGTTATTGAAGAAAAACGAAATTTTGTATATAGGCAATAACATGATTTTATTTACTGTAAATAAGCACGAGTATATTTTTTCTATGACAACAAAACTGCTGAAGCCCGTAAGGCGAGTACAATTTGTAGTCTTAAAAATTTACATTTCTTGAAATTAGGAGACTCACCTGTTTCGTCATCCATTCAAAATCGTCTTCTAAAAATTCGGTGACGAGAAATGCTACCTTTATAGGAATATGGGCTTTGCACATAAGAAAAGATCGTTCATAAAATGGATTTGGCGATTACGGTGATGGCGTGATTGCAACATATATAGTTATGATCACCCTGCGCAAGATGATATAGTGGGCAATGCAGGGGATCTCATGATATATTCGCACAAAAAAAGATACAAAATGAAGGAAAGTGAACTCGCTTTATTATCAGCTGGGACACTTGTACGTACTTAGACTGTAGTATTCACGTTTTCTATAAAACATGAGTCTTTACTGTTCGTTTACCGAGAGATAATTAGAGCACTAGCTTGACACGAGCTAGAACTAACAGTCTAGAACACTACGTATGATTACATCAGATATCATTAATATATCAGTTGCGGCGTGACTGATAATGACAAGCAACTTTCGAAAATATTACACCAGGATACTTCTGAGGGTCAGGGAATATTTGGCACGTTAACTTGACTCCCGTAAATAAAATTACCACCATTAATAAATTATATATTGAATTTCGTTCAGGAGAAATCATAACCTTATCATCTCGCTTCCGTGTCGCAATTAAAACGACTTTCGCTTCTCAAGAAGCCGTTAAACACGTGCCATGTTGTTATCGGACAGGGTTATTGGGTATTATCAATTGAGCTGATAACATAAATTTGCCACTTTAAATAGTTCAAAAGCTGACGTTTCGAGCGTTAGCCCTTCGTCAAAGCACTGTTATCAGACAGTTCAATAAGCCAATCACATTCAAATTTGTGTTAAAATCAATCAATTAGATCAAACAGGTGAACAATTTACGCCTCCATTGTCAGTCTTTTAATGCAGATTTTCCCTTTCTTTCATAACTTGGCAACTTACTCTCATGATTACAGACCGAATTGGACTCCACTTAGTCCTTTCACTGTTTCCAAAATATTTATTACAAATAATAATAATTTAACTAACTATAATTGTGACTAAACTACAGTTGCATCAGGGTTCAAGTATCATCATTTCAACATGCCAAAAGTTGCGCATAGTTTTTATCCCGATATCTAATAACAGTTTATTTCAACAATGGAGGCTTGTTTAAGAAACAAAAGGATAAAAAAAAAATGACAAAACGGGACACTGATCTAGGTGAGCCATTGAATTTTTTCTAAGACAGTGTGAACTGTTTAGTTATTAGTTTTAATTTGCCTTATCGAACAAAGACCCTCCAGAAGTCACCTGTGGACAGTCCAAAATATTTTGCACTATTGTCGTCACATTCCCATCTTGAACTCTCAGACAAAACCCAGTAATATTTCAGTCCGACATAAGCAACGACTCGATATCTGTTTTTTTCCGAAGATGTTCCCCACTTTTTATTCTTCCACTGATTACAATCGGCAGCTAACTTAGAGCTGTCATCCTTCATCTTCACAAACGAGCCACATGCTTCCGGTCTGGCATCTGTCTGACCACTGAAGTATTGTACCACTGCTTCACCACTGCTGTTGGCAGCTGTGGTCAAATGGAAAGTACGTCCCTTATTTTTTCTGCAGTGGAATCTCAACTGAGTGAAAGACAAGTGTGTTCTCAGTTCCTTCATGGCATCTGTCGTGAGTAACAACGACTTGTTGTGACAATTGCTTATTTCATGGTATGATGATTCGTATGAGTAATGTAGCGAGGATAGATTGCCGACGACAACGTTGGAGACCAGAAGCCAACCTCCTGGAAAAAAGAAATGAAATAAAATGAAATTCTTTATTTTGCAAAATAATATTGCTTTCCATTTATTATAGAAGGGCAGTTTGTACAGAAGTAAAACAAAACCACCGTCATCGTTATTAGTTTCTTAAACATCCATTCCTTACCTCCATCGGTTGTCATATCACAGTAGACCTTTAAAAGGCTTCCGTTCTTCTTAAGAGCGATCCAGTACTCCCCGTCTTTAAGATGGGAACCTGCGTTCCGAATTTCCTTACAAGAATGACCTAGAGAAAGAAATACGGTTTTTTCCCTAAATGAAAGGCATAATCTTCCCACGAATGTGCGTTGATAAGGGAAGGCAGTCGCCATTTCCCATTTGTTGTTTTTCCTTGAGTTTCATTAATTCTAGAATTCCTTGACCAGAAACGAAACGCATTCTAATTTGTTTTAGGTAAGTATGTGTGGCAATATCAGTCACAATCGATAAAATGATGACTGTTGTTTAAAAGTGCATAATTCTTGCGCGATTTGTGGAACAATTAAAAAAAAAAGAAATACTCAACTAGTGTAGTAGTCAAAATGTACAATCGTACGCGGTAATTTTCAGCTTATCCTTCTAACAACGTCTCCACACAAAGTGGTTTACATCCTTACTTGTACTTATGCAGCTGTTTCTTCCGTCTCCAATTACTCCTGGTCTGCACGTGCAGTTGTAAGAACCCACAGAGTTATCACAAACGGCGTTGGGATCACAACCATGCAGACCTTCCACACATTCGTTGACATATGTGGATAAGCATATCCTTAATTAAGCATTCCTTATCTTGTTTGTTTAACATGCTCCTAAAAATGGGAAACGATTTTAACAAAAGGCAAACCTTTTTCACAATATTTTCCTGTCCAACCAGGTGAGTTACACACGCACTTGTAGTTCGTCTCACGGTTCACACACTTTGCATTGTTTTGGCACTGGTGTTTGACACAATAGTCTGCAACTAGGGACAAAGAAAATCGATTAAGTAAAGTCCTCTCATTGGCACGGTACCAAAATGCTGAGAACCATGTCTTATACAAACCTTCAGTCTTCATGTCACAGCCAGCTAAAATAGAGTTACCAGATCTGGTTGAATCCATCCAATAATTATTAGCGCTGACCGCCTTAGCTCCTTCACTCGCCTTGATTTCCTTGCACGATTCCGCGGGCAACTCCCGAATTGATCCGAGAGGAACTGCAATTGAAGCGATTGATGTTAGCAGAATAAGAGTAAGAAAGATTCATTACCGACAGCGTAAAATCCACAAAAGTCAGCTGACCCATATTGTTTCTTTACATCACCTTTAAGATATACTTTATGTGGAATGTTTATATGACTTACTATATAATTGGCAGTCTATTGACACTTCTGTAAAGATATGTGTCAGACAATGCCGAGCATCATATCGGGTACATTTCAAGTTGCATGTGCTGGCATATCGGGCTATCAGTTGAATTTCTCCCCCCATCCCCCGTTACCTCCCTTTCCCCCCTCCTTTCCCCATTTTCTCCTTCCTATTCTTCACCCTTCCCCCTTTTCCCCCTCTCCCCCTCCCTTCCCCTTCCCCCTCTCCCCCTCCCTCCCCCCCTTCCTTAACTGTAATACTGCTTTTTAATCTTTGCATTTTCTGTCACCTCGTTTTGGACCTTTCGCCATGTAATATCTGTCCTTGTTTTTGACAAAGTCCTCAGGTCTGGCCTCTTTAGTTCGGTTGTTTAATTCGCATATTGCAATAAACATAGCAACGTTGTAGCTTTGACATTTGACATCAGCAAGACAAGCTTCTCTGCATTCTAGAGTACCCGGTGCAGTCTTGAACGACTTGTAAGTGTGGCCCTTGAGCATCATTTGGTAAATGGAGTATAGGTCGCCGCCGGCTACACACTGCTGACTGGCATTGTCACGGAACAGTTTAGAAATGAAAAATAGCACGATAAAAAATGCTTTTCGACCAGCCACGAGAAGCATATCAGATTTAAGACACCTGCGAAAACAAGATGAACGCTTTTTATTGGTAATGTTTGAGTTAAAGACATTTTTGGGAAAAAATTTCTCGATAGGTTATTAAAGAAAAACGAAATTTTGTCGCTTTTAAGTCTGCCTTTCCTCCCTCTCCTTTGAAATCTTAATCTTTTCTGATCAGTTTGCGGGAAAAAATGAGAATTTGCGTGAAAACGTCAGTTAATTTTGACAGCTTGTAAAAGACTTTTAGTATATTGATAATAACATTATTGCGAGTGCAATTTGCTGTAAATAAGCACGAGTATATTTTTTCTATGAAAACAAAACCACTGAAGCTTGTAAGGCGAGTACAATTTGTAGTCTTAAAAATTTACATTTCTTGAAATTAGGAGACTCACCTGTTTTGTCAGCCATTCAAAATTGCTTTTAAAAATTGGTGATGAGAAAATGCTACCTTTATATGAATTTGGGCTTCGCGCGTAAGAAAAGATCGTTCACAGTTGTACATTGTAACGTCCGGTGAGAACTTAAGTATCTGAAGTTTCCTTTAATTTTGGGACTTATTATACTTTTTCGGAAAAAGAGATCTGCAATTGAGGAGGCAAGGGTTTTGGCTTACATTTTTGAGACGTGCTTCAATTTTAACTTGAAAAAGAGATTGTATAATAAACTGCGGAACAGTTATACGTATACCTGGGTGAAAGTACTCGTTGTTTCTTAGACAGACTCCGACTGGTCTTCTCTTGAGGTGAAGAACCTTTGTTCAGAGTAGGTTGCCAACGGCCAACTGAAGATGAAAGGTTGTTTAGAGAGAATTATAGATAATAGTTAATTAGCCACTATCCTTAATTCCTTACATTGGTGCATCTTTGTTGGATCAGTGGGGTGCTATGGTAGACAAATAAAGTTTACTCCTACTGAACGTTGTTGTGTTTTATGGCCCATTGGAGCTGAATTGATGTTTACGAGAGAATTATATCACACCAGGGACAAACTCTTAGTAGATAAATAGCAATCGTTCGTCTTCCTTATAGGGGGGGGTCTTTTTTGGCTCAGAGGGAATCTATGGGAGACGGTTGAATTTTTTGCCTTTTTTGTTTTCAATATAGATACCGTTGTGTTTAATTTTGATAAACTAGGTTAGGCTGCCAGCAAGCGGAATCCAAATTCCAATTTAGATCCATATACATGAAAAACTAACTCTCGCATTTTCATATCATGCGCCAGGTGGAAAGGAGAAGGGTGGTATCCGTGTCGCCATTATGATAAGCTTATTGAAAGCTTTTCTTTTTGGTGAAATAAAATGATTACTTCCCGTCTACGTTTACCATAGCAAGTAGATAAAACAGTGAACTGAGGAAAGAAGTTATTGGCTTGACTCAGTGCTATTGCCTCGGGATATTAACTGAACTTGGTTATATCTTCTTGTTTATAAATTACGATAGAGCTCTGAGACCCCTAAGGGATAATTAAGAATTTGTTCATGCTTAGCGTGCGTATAACTGCGTGAAAACGTCAGTTACTTTTGACAGCTTGTAAAAGACTTTTAGTATATTGGTAATAACATTATTGCGAGTGCAATTTGCTGTAAATAAGCACGAGTATATTTTTTCTATGAAAACAAAACCACTGAAACCAGCCACGAGAAGCATATCAGATTTAAGACACCTGCGAAAACAAGATGAACGCTGTTTATTGGTAACGTTTGAGTTAAAGACAATTTTTAGAAAAAATTCCTTAATAGGTTATTGAAGAAAAACGAAATTTTGTCACTTTAAAATCTGCCTTTCTTCCCTCTCCTTTTGAAGTCTTAATCTTTTCTGATCAGTTTGCGGGAAAAAATGAGAAACTGCGTGAAAACGTTAGCTACTTTTTACAGCTTGTAAAAGCTTTAAAGTATAGGTAATAACATGATTGCGAGTGCAATTTGCTGTAAATAAGCACGAGTATATTTTTTCCTATTACAACAAAACTGCTGAGTTCCATGAGGCGAGTGCAATTTGTAGTCTTACATTTCTTGAAATCGGGAGACTCACCTGTTTCTTCATCCATTCAAAATCAACTTTCAAAATTCGGTAACGAGAAAATGTTACTTTTGTAGGAAATTGGGCTTCGCACACAAGTAAAGATCATTAATAATTGTACAATGTAACATTCATTTAAAACTTTGGTATCTGTGGTTTCCTTACATTTTAGTGCTCCTTAATCATTATATTGGGAAATAGAGAACTACAATTGAGGGGGCATGGGTTTTCGCTTAACTTTTTCAGACACACTTCAATTTTAATTTGTAAAGGAGATTGTGCAATAAACTGCGGAGCAGTGATACACATACCTGGTTAAAACTACTCGTTGTTTGTTAAACAAACTCCCATCGGTCTTCTCCTGAGGTGTGAAGCACTTTTGTTCAGAGCAGGGTGCCAACTGCCAACTGAAGCTGAAAGGTTGTTTGGAGGGAATAATATTACACCACAGACGACCTCATAACAAATTATGTGCCATTGTCCTTCCTTAAAGTAGTAACTCTTTGTTGGATCGGCGGGATTCCGTCGGAAACAGTTATTATTCTTCTCAAACTAGACATTTTATAGTTTTACGGCCAATTGGAGCTGAAATGATGTTTAGGGTGAATTATATTGCACCATGAACAAACTCTTGTTCTTCTGATTTCTACTCGCATGCCTTGCGCCTTCTGGAGGACAAAAGATGCTTTGAAAGTCATTCTAATTGCAACGGTAGGGTCAACGAATGTTGTGTTGAAAATCTCTCGAATTATTCTCATAAATGATTCATCATTTCAATGTTATTTTGGACGAATGGAATAAAACTTTTTGTTACAAAAGTAATTTCGGAAAACATCTGAGGCGATAGAATATAAAAACTGTACTATTTTATATAAAAAAATCTCGTACTTTTTTGCACTGTATTAGATTTGCGCCTTCTGAAGGACAAAAGATGTTTTTGAAAGTCATTCTAATTGCAACGGCAGGGTCGGTGAAAGTTGTGTTGAAAATCTCTGGAATTATTCTTATTAATGATTCATCGTTTCAGTGTTATTTTAGGCGAGTGGAATAAAACATTTTGAAACAGGTCGAATTTCATTTCTTTCTGATTGCTTTGCTACGAGAGTAACTTTCGGAAAACATATGAGGCGATAGAATAAAAAAACTTTACCATTTTACATAAAAAAAATCTCGGGCATTTTAACACCTGCCATTGGGAGTGAACGAATTTAGTCCATTTTTGATAGCATAGCTTCATGAATAAATTAGATTCACGCACAAAAATTATTTTAAGATAAAATCCATGATGTTCGATATATTTTTCGAAATTAGAATTAATTCATTTTTTAATTTCACGGTGTTCATTCTGATCTTGCCATATTTATCCATCGTTGTTCATGATATATTCCAGTTAAGTCATTAATTGTTACAAAGGAAGAGTTCCTGAGATGGATATTTTATTGGTAATAAATCCTATAAATATGTTTTTTTTTCTACGACAAAAAATCTTCTGAAGCCCGTAAGGCGAGTAAAATTTGAAGTCGTAAAATTTACAAATTAGGAGACTCACCTGTTTCGTCATCCATTCAGAATCGTCTTTTAAAAATTCGGTGACGAGAAAATGCTACCTTTATAGGAAATTGGGCTTCGCACATAAGTAAAGATCGTTAAAAATTGTACATTGTAACGTCCGGTGAGAACTTTAGTATCTGTAATTCCTTTTAATTTTAGGGCTTATTAACCCTTTTCAGGAAAAAGAGAGTTGCAATTGAGGAGGCACGGGTTT